CACTCACAAATCTAGTAGATGCGTACTGCTGAAGAGTCCCACAATAGAACGGAATGACCGTCCAATGCTTCCAGGTTTTCAATGGTGTTGTCTGACATCAATCTATCTATTATCTTAATCAAAAACTCTTAAATAAATAAATAAATAACATCTTGTATCTAAATAATAATTAAAATTTCATATCTCTAATAGAAAGTTAAAATCTGTAATTTGATCTTTATTGGTGTCATGATTGAACACATCTGACTGTTCATTAAATAGAATCAAATATTTGTCAGGTATTCCTAGTTTTTAAATAGTGTTATACCTAGAGCGAGTGGTTAAAGCAATGGATTACTAATCCATTGAGGTTTCCCTTAGCAAATTCGAATACCATCCCCGTCGCCAGTTGTTATATCTAGTGCTTAGATTCTTCTCTAAGCTAATCTATGAAACATGGCCATTAAGAGTAGAAGATACTCGTAAGCGATCGGTGGTATCTGCTGGGATCACCGGGTAAGTAATAGTGAGGTTAGACGTAGGGTATTAGTGAACGATGATAGTAAATCAGCCGATAAGGTTATGAATCATCATCGACTGAGATGGTTGAGCCATGTGTTGCGTATGCCTGAACACCGTTTACCACGACGCGCAATGCTAACCGGTGTTAGGGATAACTGGAAGAAAGTTAGTGGCGGCCAAACCAAAACGTGGCATCGGTGCTTGAAGTCACTAACTTTTGGTCTAAACCATGTTGTTAGATGCAGACTACTTGGTTGGGGTCCCAATGACTATCATAACCAATGGTTGAAGACTCTGTGTGACATGGCTTAGAACCGATCACAACGGTGTATGTGTATACACTCTCTGTCTTCCCTTAAACTATGAGATTAAAATCACTTCACATCTTTCTTTCTACGAACTAATTCTTTCTTTCTGTACTATCTCCTTATACACAATCTTTCTTTTATATAGTACCACCATCGAATTAACTACTTCTATGAATCCGGTGTTCATCTTGTTGTGCTAATGCGGTATGGCAACTTGGACCGATGCATATATATGCCTGGTCCCATGTTACAGCTGACTGACTGACTGACTGACTGAGTGCTTAGATTCTTAATATGAAGCGTATAACACGAGCGCTTGAACACTAGAACCCTTCAAGTTGCAAATGAGAAGACAGAAGACATGTGAAATGGAATTTTATTCTAAACAGTGTCAAATATGGCACCGAATTCTTAGGGGTTTATAGTTTTTAGTAAAAGTAAAATTATCATTATGATCATCTAATTCGCATACAGTGAGTTTTAGCATCTATCCAATAGGTAAGCTACACGTCGATATTCTGAAATGTTCATCCAAAAGATGTCTTCGACTCTTTTTGAGCTACATAGAGATTCCCGGAGTTCACCCGTGGGTCGTCTTCACAATATATAAATCATAAGACATATGAAACTATTAGCTACTTTTTCTTATGAAACCTTTTAACTAATGAAACTTACTCTATCACCGGGTAAAATGATATTGTACTTTGACAATATATCTTCAATCGAACAATCTGATGTTTGCCTATTTGAAAGGTGACTAAGTATTTAATGTTCATCTAATAGATTAAACTTTTATATTCCACACAATTGATTTAGGTAGTAGGATAATATCTACAACCCTCGTATAAACATTGTTACTTTGGACAAAGTATTGTAATCTGTAAATGAGTTTCATTTAATGATTTGATGATAGTAACTAATCACGTAAAAGAATTCGATGACGCAACATAAACGGCATATTTCCAAAGTACTTCATTAAGTTCACTTAGTGTTGTTTACTTGTATCTTCCCACTGATGTTTAAGACTGAAATTGATCAGTCTATGGTTGATATATGTGCATCTTGTGCGAACTACCTCGATATAGCCTGAAGTCATAGGATTTATAAGCAAAGATGGATAGTGACTAAGTGGATAACACGATGGCGTTTGAAGTGAACGGTACTCTGTTCGAGTGTCAGAGTGAACATCAAATCAGAGATGCAGGTACGTCCGGCTGACGAGTCCCAAATAGGACGAAACGCGCAACCTGGATTCCACTGCTAGCCACTATTCATCCTTATTTATACTTCATTAAGTGTTTTTAATATTTTGTAACTGGAGTTCAATGTTGAACAGACGTTTTTCAACAGAAATATAATGAATTTTTACAACATTTTACATAGATAGGCAATAGAAAAATAACTTTGTAGCATAATGAACGCTAATGCCATATTTAGATTAATAAAATTGAAGGTCAATTTCAACATTTGCACTAGATCATGGTTTACCAGTGATTGATCACCACCCAGTGATCAAGGTCATGTTTGTCAAGTCTTTTTTAATGCAGATCGAATCCCATCGACCAAGTTGCAATGTGGCCACTAGTTTAGATGACTGAACATTGCGTGCCACAATGCAAATTGGTCGATAGGATTCTATATGCACTAAGAAGGACCAAAAATATATGACATTGATCACTACTCAGTGACCAATCAATTATAATTACATCTCAGTCCTACAGGAGGTCAGTTCAGGCCCGGATAGCTCAGTGGTAACGTCTCTGACTGTGAAGCTTGGTGATACCGGAGAAAACCCATCAAGTAGCATCAATTCCCTCGAGATTACATGTACACCTTGCTGATGAGTGCCAAATACCGCGAAACCTAGGTCCAAAGTTTCTTGTTGACTACATTCAACTATCATCTTGTCTCAGTATACTTTTAATAGCTTGAGTCCAAGTGGTGATTTAATTTCAAACGAAAAACTAGGTGAAACATTTCGACTAAATGTCTTACACCTCAAAAATGTTGCTAACATTAATATGATAAATATCGTAGAGGAATTGAATGGCTTTGAAGCCAGATATGTTTGTCAGTGAATTTCAGGTTGTGATTTAGAAGGACCTTTCTCGCTGCATGATTTAAATTTCTTTAAATTCAGGTTGTGTTATTAGATTCATAGCTGCTCATTGCTCTAGTGTCCTAAACTCGAACAAACACATATTCAATACTCACTGATTTGTAATACAACTCCAAATGTGACCAATCTGATTCGAAATGAATCAGTTTAAACAAACAGCTATTGCTTTCATGTTCCTCTATTAGTTCTACTTATTTGCATGAAATTAGGTTATTCTCTTCTTGAGATTGATTAATCATTAAGCAGACGTAAATATAATGTTTCTCCATTCATTAGCACTGATTGAATTGTAACAATAAATTTTTCATATCCAAATTTCATAACGTGTATCAGTTCATCAAGAATAGAGTTATCTGATGCTGACGGATACCAACTAACGCAAAGAATAGGTCTTGAGTTTTCACCCAGTCTAGTATTTTCATCTTTATTTTACCAGTGGAGTTCAACCAGGTCTGTTGTGAGATATCAGCTGACTAAAGACAATGGTGTACGGTGGCGTAAGTTCGTGGATTGGTTGAAGTTAGACATTAACACCATTGGATGCCGGCTCAGTGTTCTGATTGGTTAAGCACCTAGAGCGAGACTGATAGATCCTGGGTTCGAATCTCGAGAGGGGCAGGATCGTGGATGTGCACTGTTGAGGAGTCCCATATTAAGACGAGACGGCCGTCCAGTGCTTCCAGGTTTTTCATGATGGTCTAGCTTCAATTGACTCATGATTTCAACCAGTGAACTTTATTTTATCTCTTAATTTATATTAGTTAAACAAAATGTATATAAAGAAAAGCGGTTATTGCATTTAGTATCTTGGACCTAGTTACGTAATAACAAAAATGTATTTAGGCTGAGAATAATTTGTCAATTTAATTACATCTTAATAAAGTTTATCCATGTCATTGTATTTGTCTGTCTATCTTTCTATCTGTCTATGTAACTATCATTGTCAGACAAAGATTGAAAATAGTTCAGCCATTTTTTTTTTATTCATAAAGATTTATTCATTTTGTTACTAAGGGGACATTTGAAATAAATGACATACATTATGAAAAAGGTAACAGAATTAATATCAAATTAGTTATAGAATGAGAATTGTCTAAATAACCCAGTAACTAAATTAGATCATTTTAATTGATTATTAAGTAAATATTAACTGACTATTGGTATTAAATGATGTAAAATAGGAGAACGGTCTTGTGGTTAAATTCATGTGTTAATTGATGCTAGAACACCATGGAAAACGTGGAGGCAATTGATGGCTGTTTCGTCCTAGTATGGGACTCCTCCATGGCAGTGCATATCCAAGATCCCGCTTCGAGAGATCGACTTTAATTTAGAATAAGAAATTTACAAATCAGTATATATTTGTTGGGATATTCAGAAAAATATCCCCGACAATTATCCTGTTAAGTCTAATGTGATCCTTGAACGTGAAATAGTGTCATTTTCCTGTTGGTCAATATTCACGTTAGTCCTAACTGTATAATTATGCATTTGTTTGTAAAGTATCATTCTTATTCTTATTATTCTCCTGACCCCATAAATAATTTTCACCTAACGGTTTGTGTTCTGATATATTGGAGAAATGGGGGGGGGAAGGATTAGGGTCGTACTGGGAGATATCTGCAGTTGGTCAATCGGTGGAATTTAAAGATGGATAGTGCCTAGTAGTGGAATTTAGGATTAGCGTTTCATCCTACTTAGGACTCGTCATCTCGATGTACCTGAATCTCAGACGTGTTGATGTTCACTCTGTGACTTGAACCCACTGCTGTTCGCTTCAAGCATCATCTCGTTATCCACTTAGTTACTGAGTCCTGATGACCACTTGTTTGTGCAATGGGATGAAGTATTTCCTACTTGAATCTTCCCATTGTTGATTTAGAGTAACAGTAGAATCTAAGATGTACATTTCGTCCTATTGATGACTCATTAGCTGATTGTATTTGGATTCTACAGTCGACGATGAATATATATATATATATATATATATATATATATATATATATACATGTATAACGTTTAAAATAAACACTCCTGTATCCATTCATATTACTTTTCTTATATTAATCTAGTGATAAACACTTCACAGTAATTGATTCCAATTCAATATCCAGCTCAGAGAATAAAACTTCATCAAAATGTATTAAATCTAATGAATTCAATGAAAATCAATTAACATTATTACATAATCATCAATTATCCAATTCATTACATAATAATAATAATAATAATAATAATAATAATAGTTTACCAATTAAATTATCCAATAATTTAGATCTAAATCAATCCAATCCAATTTCAATTAAAACCTTGACAACTAAAATAAATTTGAATGAGAATCACCATCATCACCACCATCACAATCAGCATCATCACCACCACCACCAACAACAACAACAATCATTACCATTTACTGTATGGGTAAGTTCTCTCTTTGATTTTTATTGATTTTTCAAATAACATGGCAACATAATTTTATAAAATAAAAAAAATTATTTATTTTACTTTTTATTTATGGAATATGAGTATAGATGAAAACAATTAAAATATAAACATAATACATTATAAACAGAGTTGGATAGTGATTAGAAGTGAAATTCAGTTTGACAAGCGTTTCGTCCTATATGGGACTCGTCAACTGTTTATAAAATATGTGACTTAAGATAATATCAAGGCAATCTGTACAGGATGTATATATTTCAACAAGAGACTGATCAATTGCAGTCGTAAATAACAATGGGAAGATACAAGTAAGACAAAATTACCAAGTGAATTTAGAAAGATAAGACTTCATTAAGGAAGAATAACAACATTCATCTCGTGTACAAGATCGTAATTGCGAACTTCTGAAGAGTTCTGTCCTAAGATGAAATGGTTGTTTAGCGCTTTCAAGTATTCACTAGTGATCTAATACTGATCATTTCATGATTTTAATAAAGTCATTCGTAGAATAATACAGTATGATCCTATTTCATAAACTCTCTGCAACTTTAAAACAATATATAGTTACGAAACAAAACAATAAATTTTTTGATTGAGATCATGAATCGACTGATGTTAAACCACCGTTGGAAACCTGGAAGCACTGGACGGCCGTTTCGTTCATGATCTCAATCAAAAACTTAATAATCTCCACAACCCCAATAATGATAATTAACATGTGCTCACTAGTGACTAGCTTCGTGAGGGAATTCTCGGAGTTCTAGTGAGAAGCCGTGACCAGTCTAGCTAATCCGTGTCGGGTAGAGACAGGTATCTACCTCAGTACAATAGAAGATGGTCGCGCAATTTCGTGGATTGGTTGATGTTAGACACTAACACCATTGGATGCCGGCTCAGTGGTCCAGTAGGTTAAACGTTCGCGCGCGAAACTGAAGGCCCTGGGTTCGAATCCCGCGAGCGGGATCGTGGATACGCACTGCTGAGGAGTCCCATACTAGGACGAAACGGCCGTCCAATGCTTTCAGGTTTCCAACGGTAGTCTAACATCAGTGGATTCATGATCTCAATCAAAAACTTAATAATCTCCACAACCCCAATAATGAGAACAATAAATGTTTGGTAATGGTAATGAAATTGAGAGGACAACGTTGTCAGTAGTCTAGGTGACTTGACCTATTACTTCTTCGTAATCATGAATTGATCAATTCAAGTAAATAATAGTGATTTCTGTATTATAGTAAATGAACTATAGTCTAAGTGAAGTAAACAAGAACACAGGCGGGGACAATCAAATGTAAAATCTAAGAACCATATAGTAAATAGTTCATTCTGCAAACTGTCAATCCATCATCTTAGACTTCACTGTGACTTCTTTTCCACATCAATCATTCTTTGTTCTCATTGTCTTCTCTTTAATCTTCTTAACCTTCTCTGTCACCAGGCATTTCACTTCCGACTGATGATACATACTACTTATATGTGTTGACATCAGTAGCATACACCACTAAAGCATTTCACTAGCAAAGTATAAAAAACTCAGCTAAGTTATTAGAATTCCATAATCAAAAAGTCTTTCAAATGAACATGAATACTCTAACATTGACTATCAGGGCTAAGAAGTTTAACTTTTGAATTTGTTAAACATTTACATCGAAGAAAATTACTTACCCAACACAAGAACTATCACTATCACAGTTTTCTTATACATTAAAACTATTCATTGTGACAAGGAAGAAAGTAATCTGATACATTTTATAATAATGAAACAGTAGGCACGTCAATATATGATCATATATGTGTATGTTTATTAAGTGGATAACAATTCACCTGGTAATGTTGTTTAAGTCTGCAATTGATCAGTCTCATGTTGGTATATGTGCATCCTATTCGAATTGTCTGGATATCGCCTTATGTTACAAGCATGATAGGTGAAAATGCATAGTGGCTAACAGTGGAATCCAAGGTGTGCGTTTCGTCCTATTTGGGACTCGTCAGCTGGATGTACTTGCATCTCAGATTTGTGGATGTTCACTCTGAGACTCGAACTCAGTGTATTTTTTAAACATACAGTAAAGTATTTTACATCTTCAGATCATGTAAATGTATTAGAATTTTGGTTACTTCAATGTTTTGTTTTGTAATTTAGATGGTATATAATGTAAAACCCAAGGCATAAGCTTCGTTCTAATAGAAGTATGTTAATAGATATTCTGTGTATCTTTTTCGCAACATATCAAACTGTGGTATTGAGTAACTACAGATTAATTTGCTTCTTACACTAACTAATTGGTGTTGATGTAGGCTAAACCACCATTAAGAACCTGGAAGTACTGAATAACCGTTCCGTCCTAGTATGAAACTCCTCAGCAATGTGTGTGCACTATTCCTCCTTGCGGGATTTGAACCCAGGATCATTCATCTCGTTCACAAACGTTTAATCTCTAGACCACTAAGCCAGCATCGAACAATGTTAATGTCTAACTTCAATTGATCCATGATCTTACACAACCGTTTCATCTATTGTCTAGTTTAGATTAACTCATGAATTCAACAAGTAGAATTACTACAATCTTTATCAATCCCTATTGTAATCATCATGTATTCATTGTTTAATTGCAAATACAACATTTTTATCATTCATAAACAATACTTGTCTAATTATCACTTTGTATGACATACATATAAACATTTGGTAACTATAGAACTTTAGATGATCAATCGATGATCAGTTCGTCATTGTTTTCACTTTGGAATGTGATTCTTTCATGGTTAAAAACTAATCACCATCCATTGATATTCAATAGACAAATAGGATGATTAAAAAAAAGAAATGCAATCAACATTATCTAATCTAATCATAAGAGACAATCATATAGAAATTGGATATTCATACAGACCAACACACTCACATACACACATAGGTATGTATGTATCTATGTATGTATTTATGTATGTATGTATGTATTCATATGATCACTTAACAATTGTACACATACCATGTCAATTGAAGTAGACAGTTACTGAATCTTAATTATGCAAATGGTCTTTTTATATTTTATGAGAAATGATTAATTATGTTAAATATGTTGCTATAAATATATATCTGGTTATAGACATTCTGGTTAGAGGGTTTTATTTAACAAGGTTAAGGTTGCTAATCCCATGCTCAATCCTTATTCGTTACCCTGAGGTTGGAACCAACAGGTAGCTCTACAAAATCTACTGGTGGAGTTATCTGGTAAGAATGAATACTTGATGACTAATTTAAGATTTGAAGTTTTATAGACAGTTAAATGTGGATATATCTAGTACATGTTTCTCTCATAAATAAAATACACGTACCTATGAAAATGTATTCACTTTCCATGTGAGATGGTGGAGAAGATTTGTAGGTCAGTTGGATGATTTTGATAGAATTTCATTCTCTGAGCTGGATGGTTTGATCGTGGAGCTTTCATCGTTTTTCTGAACGACATCATCAGCACAAACTTCACGATCAAACCATCCAGCTCAAAGAACAAAACTCTATCAAAATCACTTTCCATGTAAATTAATTTCAACACATTTATGATGTTTAAGATGTCCATGCGTTATGCATACATTGAATGATTAATTGTTATAGGGTAATTCATCTAATTTGAGAGTCTTCTCAATGTGTTGGGATTGTGTGAAATGTAGAATATACATCTGATATTTTATTATGAGTATGAGGTTATGAAAATTATTAAGTTTTTAATTGAGATGATGAACTAATTGATGTTAGATAACCATTGAAAACCTGGCAGCACTATATGGTCGTTTTGTCCTAGTATGCGATTCCTCAGTGGCAGTGCACATCCATGGCTACGCCCCCACGGAAATAGAACCAACGACACTCAGTCTCATGCGCCAACACTTAACCACGAGACCACTGATCCACCCGACATACAAACGGTGTTCATGTCTATCTTCAAACAATCCACCAAATTGAACCATTGTCCACAATTATCTTCAGTGAGCTATGATCTCACAACAAACTCAAGTGAACTCCACTGGTCACTACTTCTTACCAGAACTCTCCGAAATACCTCTTGAAAGTAGTCAGTAGTGAGCACATGATGATTGTTATCAGAAGGGGGATTTTGTGGCGATTGTAGTAATTTAATAATTGATTTCATGATTCAATTAAAGCTACCAGGATCGTGAATACGCACTGCTGAGGATTCCCACAATAGGATGAAAAAGCCGCCCACTGCTTCTAGGTTTTCCATGGTGATCTAGCTTTAATTGACTCATGAACTCAACTATTAAATATTCTACTATCTAAAGTTTTTTTTATTTTCAACATATGCTATCACAGTTCATTATTAGTAGTAAAACCTATTTTGTATAAGCTAATACGAATGTTGATGTAACTAATTTTGAGATGTAATTCAGTAGTTCTATTGAGAATTAATAACCAGCCAGGCCATATCTGAAGCATTTACCCATTAATGATATTAGAATTCTAAATTAATTCAAGCCATAAATGTAAACCATGGGATACTGACTCAGCGGTATAAAGGTTAACTTGTCTCATAGACCTCTGACATTCAATGGTTCAATTACTCGTGAAGTTAGGAATTCGCTCTGCTGAAATGTCACAAAGTAGGAAAAAATAGATAACCTATATATCTTGGATCAGCTTCGACGCTTCAGCAGTTCACATCAATGAATTATTTCTGCTGATTTGTTTTATAAATGACTTTCAAAATGCTTTAAATGAAAGACTTAAACCGCTTGATCCTTAGTTTTGTAAGACTACTTTCTTTCAGAAAGAGTTCTGCTCTATATGTAAGTTATTAAATGAATACATTAAAGAGGGATATGCATACAAGCTATTATCATAGTAAAACATTTTGATGTGGTCGTTTGGGAGCCGATTGACATAATTTGCATGCTGATTAAAGCATATTAGAAAGGAATATTCCAACATATAACTTAACATTATGCACACTATAATGTGATGTTAAGCTATTTTAACTACTAAGCTTGAACCTCTAAGATTGTCAATATCATCCGAAATTCATATGATGGACTACAGTGAAAAGTCGTGCATGGAGGACAGCTGGCGGATGCATTCCAAGTAAGGACAGAGTCAGAAAAGACTGTTTACTCTCTCCCTTCCTCTTTCTTCTGGTGATCGACTGGATTATGAAGACCTCGACAGCTGAGGAAAAACACGGCATACAATGGATAGCTCGGAATCAATTAGAAGATATGGACTTCGCTGATAACCTAGCCCTTCTGTTCCATATACACGAAAAAATGCACATAAAGATAACCAGTGTAGCAGCAGTCTCTGCATCAGTAGGCCTCAACGTACACAAGGGGAAAACGGAGAACGCCAACCCAATCACACTTGATGGAGAAGCTCTAGAAGATGTGAAATCCTTCACACACCTGGGAAGCATCATTGATGAACAAGGAGGTTCAGATGTAGACGTTAAAGTGAGGATTGGGAAAGCAAAAGCCGCATATGGAACTCAAAACAACTTTCAATCAATACCAAAGTCACAATCTTTAATGCGAACGTCGAGATAGTTCTACTGTACGTAACTGAAACGTGGAGAACTACTTACAACCATCATCAAGAAGGTACAAGTATTTATAAATTGATGTCTACGCAAGATACTCAACATCCATTGGCCGGATACTATCAGTAACAACCCTCTGTGGAACAGAACAAAGCAGCTTCCAGATGAAGAAGAAATTAGGAAAAGACGGTAGAAATGGATAGGACATACATTGAGGAAATCATCAAACTGTATCACCAGGTAATCCCTAACTTAGAAGCTGAGGGGGAAAGGAGAAGTGGAAGAGCGAGTAATACACTACGTAAGGAATTGGTAGCAGACATAAAAAAGATGAATTGCATGTGGAAAGAACTTTAAAGGATTGCCCAGAATAGGGTTGGGTAGAGAGTGCTGGTGGGCAACCAATGTTCCTCCAGGAGGAGTAACAGGCGTAAGTAGGTAAGTAAGAAAGTAATACACTTCTAATCCTAGGTTTCGAGTTAAATAGCACTTAGCAATTGACCAAGCATTAAATACATGAAATGAAATGTTCCTCATATGAGATTTAGATCTAAGTCAACTAGTATTACATCAAGACCTTGTTCATAACTGATTGAATATCTTTGAAACTTTGTAAATAATCAAGTCTAATGCCAGTGTAAATTCATTAGAATAATACAATAAAAACTGGGAAATTTTTTCGATTACATCACTTCCAACGGATTTCTAGTTTTATAATATACTCACTCTTGTGGGTCAGGGTAATTTTACATTGGTTTTGAAGAGAACCAGACACCATCCAGACTTTCACGTGACAACCTAAACATTACAGCTCAATCCCATTTAACAAAAGAACTAGACGCTGAATCCAGTTTCCATGAAAACGAGACACTATCTAGGCTTAAACTTTATAACCCGGGCAGTACAGGTCAAACGCGCTTCACAGGAGAACCAGACACCATATAGGCTTTAACACTACAATCTGAATAGTACAGCTTAATCCAGTGATGCAACCATACAGATACTAAGCACTCTAGTGGACTAACTAATTATCAAACATTAAATGAATAAAACAAACATTTCAGACTTATTCTATTCATACATCAATCATCAATATGTTTTTTTTGTTGTTGTCAACTTTTTTCTTTATTTTCTTTTTTCTCTTTTTTTTTCTTCTTTATTTTTTTGTTTACACTATTAGTTTATCAAAATGGCAAAGAAGTTACTTTATTGGAAAAATACTTTTATGAATATTCATTTATCATCAAAATCATCGAATTATTGTCATATTATAAATGAGATCCCTATTGATGAATATCACAATACAATCAATGTTAATAGAATTGATAATGATCATTTAAACAAAATAACAATTCAGAAAAGATTAAGCGATAAGGGGACATTTGGATTCAATATGTATGTAATGATTAATTATTATTATTATTATTATTATTATTATTATTATTATTATTATTATTATTATTGTTATGACCTTGACTTGTCTACCCACTTTTTGGTGTCGAGGATACTTGTCTAATCTAGATTTCGACCTTGATGCGATAGGCTGATCGGCATAACCTTTAGACTAGTACGCGTGAGTTCAAGATGGAGTAAAGAGAAGAAAACTATTCTGTCACCTGATTGGTGGGTAAGCACACGAATGAGAGAAGACAAGACAACTGGAACACTACTCGATCTATTTCCCTGACCACTGAACTTACTGGATTCACTGAATTTCGATTAGTGTAAAAAGGTACATGAATAAATAAGTGAATAACCTGACCGCAACATACAATAATTACGAACAATACAATTATGTCCAAAGCTGGGAATTACAGTAGAAAATAGGGTGCAAATTAATATGTTTAAATTACAATAGCTTCGGAACAGAAAAAGGTATGGCAGTGAATGATACATCGAACGAAAACTTATGTTCTGTAGAATAGATTAGGGACAAAAATAAATGTCAGTATTTTACAAGCTTTGAATAAAATGAAATAACGTTCAGAAAAATAGCCTACGTAGTTTGTCAGGGCTTCTTGTTTCCCGGTTCACATCAATTATTATTCATCTGTAATTTAATGTGAATTTTACAATACAACTACATTTTTGATGACTATTTTGTCCTGTTGTGGGACTCCTCAGCAGTACGCATTCACGATCCTGATAGCTTTAATTGAATCATGAAATCAATTATTAAATTACTACAATCGCCACAAAATCCCCCTTCTGATAATAACCATCATGTGCTCACTAATGACTAGTTTCAAGAGGTATTTCGGAGAGTTCTGGTAAGAAGTAGTGACCAGTGGAGTTCACTCGAGTTTGTTGTGAGATGGTAACTCACTGAAGATAATTGTGAACAGCGGTTCAATTCGGTGAATTGTTTGAAGGTAGACACGAACACCGTTGGATGCCAATCGGTTCAGTGGTGTAAATGTTAAGTGTTGGAGTGCGAGATCTAGTGTCATTGGTTTGATTTCCATGGGGGCGTAGCCATAGATGTGTACTGCCACTGAGGAATCGCATACTAGGACGAACCGACCATATAGTGCTCCTAGGTTTTCCATGGTGATCTGATTTCTTTATAATAATACTTACTATATACTTCAAAACCTAATTTCTTTTAACATTCTAAACCTTGATTTCATTATAATTAATTTTAAAAGAGAAAACTTCCTATTTGAATGATCATAATTGTTAAGGAATAAGCAAAGATGGATAGTGGCTGGCAGTTGGATCCAGGACTCAAGAATTCAACTATTAAAATTACAATGGTTAAGATCTATTGTGGTACAATAGGACGAAACAGCCGTCCAGTGCTTCCAGGTTTTCCATGGTGTTGGTCTAGCTTCAACTGACTCATGATCTTAACTATTGAAATTACGACAATCTCCATAATACCCCCTTTCGTAATTATACTACTATTTGAAAATTCTTTGTTGATATTGTATAGTTTTCATTCATAAAATAACACCAGTATGTAGACTAATTGGGAAATCTGTGTTTATATTAAATGAAAAAAACTTCGCTTAAAAAACTTATGACTTAAGGCTATATCGAGGCAATCCGTACAGGATGTACATATGCCAACATGAAACTGATTAATTACAGACCTAAATAATAATGGGAAGATACAAGTAAAACAACACCAAGTGAATTTAAACTTCACCTCATTGCACAAGCAGGTTGCTATCAGCACTCAGTAGCTATGTGGATAACATGATGCAGGTACATCCAGCTGACGACTCCCAAATAGGACGAAACACGCATCCTGGATTCCACTACTAGCCATCATCTATCCATCTTTGCTTACAAAGCTTGTGACTTAAGGCAATATCGAGGCCATACTCACGAAGAACAATTACTTCTGTTGCATGTTGTTGTTTATTTTTTTCCAATCATTTTCACCTGATGTTCTTAATTTACTGAGAATACTGAATGAAAAAGTAAATTATAAACTTGCAAAACTAAATATGAAAACATTCTATTGTAAAGTTGATTTATGTCTGGTAATAGAATCCACAATCAACTTTTGCTTTATTTGAAGCTTGTTAGATAGATATTTACTTGTAACCGAATGTTGATATTCATACTAAGACTCGAACCTAGTACCTTTCAATTCATAATCCATTACATTATTGACTGAGTTACGGAGTATAGAAAGTTTGTGACGAATGCTATTCATGACTAATTAACATATGAAAGAATTCCTTGTCATAAAAAGAACTAAACCATCGTACACAATAGATTTAGTTGAGTTATATTGTAGCGTGAAGTCGAATCGCGCTTGATTATGAACACCGCTACAAGACTACGTGCCAGTAAACCAATATGATTCCCGTAGGCCAAAATCAGAAGACAGATGATGGCTGTAGTCGAGATATATTTGCTGGCAATCTCGTGGTATCGATAGAATACCGAGATCGTGCCAAAGGAGTACAAGCGTCGTTACTGAGCGTAACCGAATTCGTACAAGTTCAAAGTCAACGGGAAAGTAAGTGTAGTGGCTGTCATTAGCATAGTTAAACAAACGAGCACAGTAAAATAGTCACTGGTACAATTGGTTATAATAATAATTGTTTTCATTGAACCAATCGCGTTCTGTTGACAAAAGTAGGTCACTACAATATCTTCCACGCAGGCTGATATTGGTCTTGGGCTACGATTTATTATCACTACATATCTACTAATTGAAGTTGGCGGTTAGATCACAGAAATGCAAGTCCTATACAAAGCGTGATTCTCTAAATCATTGTATGGATCAGGTTTTCTAGATAATCAAATTGGCTATCTCAGTCATCCAATATAATCTTTAATATTAGATTGATCTTCAGTAAATACCTGTTACATGTTACGTTGAACTACTGAATTAAGCTCCACCATGTTGTTTTTTTTGTTATTAATCTATATACTACTTATTTGATTTGTTTTAATTTTAGACAACATATTAAACAAAAAGCTAATAGTTTAAAAGAACAAAGTAGAAAAGGCAAAGTCTATCATGGTTATTCAATTTGGACTGATAGTAAAAGTGTTATACAAACATTTTCAAATAGAATATCACCATATTCTACTACTTATTATCATTTATCACCATATAGACAATATGATTCACAAAGTGATTTATTTGATCCAATTTATTCAGCAATTCAATATCCTTTAAAAGATACATTACAATCAACACATTCATCATTATGGGATCATTCATCAGTGTCAGTACATCAACCATATGGAAAAGATCGTCTTCTAGTTAAAAATATTTGGACAAGTCAGGTATATTGTAATTGATTTTATTTCCAGTGTACAGTTCCCAATTTACACTTGAATTCTGTGTACTACATTGAACCATAATGTCACTGATTACTCACCCTTTCAATTGATCCTCATAGCTAGATACTGATTCCTCATTTAAAAAAAAAAGAAATTAATAATCATATTTTAAGTAAGCAAAGATGGATGGTGGTTAGGAGTGGAACCGAGGACGCACGTTTCGGTAGTGGGTTCGAGTCCTAGAGTGAACATCAACAAGTCTGGGATGCAGGTACATTCAGCTAACGAGTCTCAAATAGGACGAAATGTGCCTCCTGGATTCCACTACTAGCCACTATCCATCTTTGCTTATAAAACTTGTAACTTAAGACAATATCGAGGCAATCCGAATAGGATGTATATATGCTGACATGAGACAGATCAATTACAGTCCTATATAACAATGAGAAGATACAAGTAAGACAACACCAAGTGAATTCATATTTTAAGTGTTATATATAAACAGACATCGGTATTTTGTATGCAATGGAACTATCCAATGGACTATTGGATTGAAATATTTAACATTCAGTTAATAGAACTTAGGTTGTAATTCTATTCTAAGTAATTTGCTTTGAATTATCATACAAAAATGTGTACATCAATTTGTGTTTAGAAAATGAGTTGCATACCCACCCACCCAGACACAAACACACACACACACAATGTTCAGTTTTATTTAATGTTCCAGATTATCCTATTAAAGTAAATAAGTAGTTTCAAATGACTTGTTTATGAAGCTCTAATTGATATTGCTTTGATTTTTTTGTTTCGATCTAGGCGTGATCATTAATAGAACACAGTAGGATATTGATACTGAATAACGTTAGACCTGTATACGTATAGTATTTATTTTTGGAACAAAAACATCGGTACAAGGGGGCACCGAATAGTAATGCACCACACAATAACAATGAGGTCAATAATAGTTTTCATTGATTTGTGTGAGGGTTGTGATACTGCAACTCCGCCTGTAGCTCTTCCAGAGTTACTGCCGGTCCCAAGCCCGGGTAAAGGAGGAGGGTTGGGCATGGGGTTAGCGTCCCCATCCCGTAGAAACCTAACTCGCTAAAAGAACGCTAACCAGAAAAAATAACTCAAACCATTTAAACTCTGCCTGTGATACTGCACGGGTGCCCAGACTGAAGCAGGTGGTTTCTTAGTGGACCACACTCAAAGCCTTTGACCTGAAGCTCTGATTCATAAGTCAGTGAAGCAACGTCAGTAGATGCAGTCCCATGGTAGTCGGTGACCATCAATAAACTCATATGCCTTCTCATTCCTCAGAGTTCTGGAGCCCATGTGCACCAGTGGTTTGAAATAAGAGCTTTCCAACTCCCCTCGGTGGATACTCTATATCCACCAACCTAGTTAAATTGTCGAATATTCGCTTTTCGTCCTTTTAATTTCGTAAGCAACACCTTGGGCATGTCAAGGCAGTGAATAGGACTTTCTTGGCAGTGTGTGTATGCCTGTGGTCATGTGAAAGCATTTCGAGAGGGACAACTAACTCTCTCGACCCTCGACAGTACCAGGGCATTTGGGTGCGTATATGCATAATAGCAGTTAATAGTAATTGATCACTCAGTGACAACTCACTAACTTACTTACTACAGTTTAAAAATAAATTGTTCCGTTCTAGCATGAAATTCATTATCAATTTGTGATTACAATCTCATCAAGGGTTCAACCTTGGATCTTCTATTCTCACGGAAAATATTTAGTCGTTGTATCATTAAGTTGACAATTAATACCTCGAATCTCTTCTATTAGAGATACGGGACAACGATCAACGAACAACGATGACCGTCTTAAACTCTACATGGTTTAACGACCTCAATCACAACTTTTCATTAAAACTATACTGATAAGACATGTTAATGTTCTCGTTAAGATGTTAGTTTAATGTTATGATTATGATTTTTCTATACAATATCATAATAGGATTCAATTGTATCCGATGCCCATGTCTATTGTGAGCTAATCGAATTGAAATCCACTAAAACTCATTATCCTACAAATAAGAAATTGGATTGTAGATCATTTTATAAAGATTATTCCACTTGTAGTTTACCTTCATATGATAATCAATATAATCAAGATGTCATCTCAGATAAATATTGTAATGAACAACCACCAAAATTACCACATCGAAATTATGGTGAAAGTACTTTGAATATGGTTGCTAATGTAAGTTTTGAAAAAAAAATTAATTGATTATTCTCTTCTTTTTTTTATTTATTTTCTTTCTTAATGACTACCACCCCCCCCCTTTGGATCATTTTGATTAACTTTTATAGAGAATAATGAAACATTATCCAGTAAGAGACCAGCTTAGCCTATGGATACATTCTTGTTAGTATTGTCCTTAGTCCAAAATCAATATTTTTATCTATTTCATAACCCTCGAAGCCAGGTTTTTATCAGCCATAGCATATTTCACTTCCTATGTAATAGTTGATTTATCTTTAGTTATTAAACTTTACGCATAACCGTTATCACATAATTGACGTTCACCTATGGCGTATTCCTTTTACACTTCTATCCATTGAATATAACCTGGGTACATTGTTGAATAGTGTTCTAACCAAAGATCTTTCATATTTTATCGGACAGACGTCAAGGAAGTACATATATGCCCGGCTCTATTTGCCTTTTACATAAATATATATTTCACTTGCTTAAAGCACCAAAATCTAGGAAATGAAATATGTTGTCATGTTCTCATTATAACGTAAATTTAATATTACTGATGTGACTTAATACCTGGCTAATCATCACGGGATTTATTTGTCAATCGAAATGCTACTTATACAATCTTAGTACTGTACTAAACCAATGACATGTCGAACGGTATGAGTAACGTAACGTATTTATTGATCTTTTCTTTCTCTTAGCCCTTCCAGTTGAGTCCAGAATGCCAATTCCAGCTCGCACTAAGTGGATCATTTATTTCAAACATACTTGGTTTATATACCAATTAAGCAGAGCAAATCACATCATAAAATAGGAAATACACATTTGTACAAGATCAAGCCAAAATGTGGCTGTGAATGTGGGAGACTGTAATCAGTAAATCGTATAATAAAAATCCATAAGTCAAAATGAAGCTTATAATAAGAGGAATATAGATATAAACAATCTAGTTACTGAATAGTTATACAATAAGAATATTTATAATATTAGTCCAGATAGAAAGGTTATTGGGGGTATTCAACAGGAAAACCTGGACCCGGGTTTCGTGCTCTTTGGCACTCATGAGAAAGGTGTACCTGTAATCTTGAGGGAACTGGTGCTCCCCGACGGATTTGATTTCGTGTCACCCAGCTTCACAGTCAGAGACATTACCACTGAGCTATTGGGGCCTTAACTGACCTCTTGTAGGACTGAGATGTATTCACATTTGTTTGATCACTGATTGGTGATCAATGTGTATCAAGTCCTTCTTAGTGCATTGTCTAGTCACCTAGACTAGTGGCCACATTGCAACTTGGTCGATAGCTTTTGATCTTCTCTACAAAGGATTTGACACACATAACATTGATCACCACTTAGTGATCGATCAATTGTGATTAACATTAGTTCATTAATAGCTCTCAGAATTTACTCTTAATCTAATCTTTACAAGGACATAACAATAACAGTATGCTCTGTTGAAAGTTCCAATATACAAGAAGTATGTCAATCATCATTGAATACAACAAATGTATCTTTCTTGAACTTTTATTTTAAGTCAATCAAACAATTTTATTTCGATAATGCAATGAAACGACGAAGTTTATCAGAATTGACTCTCCCCACCGTCAGCCGTACCAGGGTATTTGGGGGCTAATACATCAATTTGTAATAAAGATAATCAATAATATATTTATTTTACATTCAATTCAGTATATGATTATAGAGTTTTGAGATTCTGATAATGATATTGTAGTGAACCGAATGAATACTAAATTTCAGAACATCTTAGTAAAATCTAAGAACCATTCATTAAATAGTTCATCTGGAAAATGTCGATCAATCATTTCACACTTTATTGTTCTTTCGTTTCAACACCAGTCATTCTCTGTTCTCGTCCTCTTCTTAACCTTCTACCGTCAGGCATTTCACTTTCGATTCACTATACATACTACTTATATCTGTCGACATCAGTAGTACACAGTACAAGATAACTGACTAAAACTCCAGTGTTTTTTCTAAGTTATTTATTTATTTAAACACATAAACATAGGTACAAGAAGGCACCAAATAGATATGCGCCACATAAATCATTTGATTTACGTGAGGGCTAGGATACTACCCTGGTGCCCAAACCGATGTAGGTGGTTTTCGTAGGGGATCACATCCCGAATCTTTGACCTGAAGGTTTAATTCACAAGGCAGTAAATCAACATCATTAGATACAGTCCCATGCTAGCCAGTGATCAAAAATATGTGGACTAATTGTTTGGAATTAGGGTTATCCAACTCCCTTAGGTAAACCCTCCGTATCCGTCAACTCGGTTAATGCTCCGTACATTCACTTTTCAACCTTTCAATTTTATAAACAACACTCACACCACGAGAAGTCAGTAAGTAGGACTTCCTTGGCAGTGTTTGTTTGCCTGTGACCATGTAAGGGCATTTCGATAGGGATTATATAACTTTTAATTTTGTTCTTATTTCTGTTTTTTTCTTTGTTTATGACAGTTACGTTTATGGGCAACAAGAAATAAACAAAAAATTTTAAAAAATCTTTATAAAATCAATAAATTACATAAAAATGTTTATTCTATGTCAGATATGACATGGAGATTAAAAAAGAAACGACATTTTTATGATTTACCTTTAGATAAACGAAAAAATTATACAGAACAATCATCGTTAAGAACATCATTTCAATGTAAGTTATCGCTTTTCTTTTTCTTTTCTGTTTTCTTTCTCTCCTTTTTTTCTCTTTTTTTTTGTTTTTTTTATATGATCAACTGAAGTTTGGAACAATATCCTTTGAATTTTGATGGAGTTTTGTTCTGTGTGTTGGATGATTTAGTCGTAGTAGAAGTCTACTTGAAGTTTGTGCTGATGATGTCTTTCAGAAGAACAACAACGAAAGCTTCACAACTAAACTATTCAGCTCACGGAATAAAACTCCATCAAAATCATCCATCTAAGCTAGAAATCTTCTCCACCACCGCAAAATCATATAAGGGTAGTATCCTTTGAACTTTGATGGTGTTTAGTTCTGTGTGTTGGATGATTTAGTCGTAGTAGAAGTCTACCTGAAGTTTGTGCTGATGATGTCGTTCAGAAGAACAACAACGAAAGCTCCACAACTAAACTATTCAGCTCACGGAATAAAACTCCATCAAAATCATCCATCTAAGCTAGAAATCTTCTCCAATATCGCAAAATGATATGAGCGTAGTATGCTTTGAACTTGTTTGATATTTGTGATATACATTTTTGAATATAAAACTATTGTTCAGTTTTTATATGAAAGACTAAATAGTTGTTTCATCTTACTATGGAACCATTCAACAGTGAGCATCTATGATCCTATTAATCCCCAAATCCTGAATCTTTAGATATAACAAGAGGACTAGCTGTTCTACGGAATGAGGTTGCTGACCCCATGCCCAACCCTTGTCTCTTACCTGGGCTTGGAACCGGAAGTAACTCGAGAAGAGCTACAGGCGGAGTTTGCAAAAGGAGTACGATAAATAAATGATATCAAAGAACTCAAATTTTACGTAACAAGTTTTCTCAGTGTTACGTAATAAAGTATCTTTTCACTGTTGTT